TCTTGCGTTACTTTCGTATATTAATTTTGTTTTGTGTGCTCTTTTCTCGTGTATCCGTTGTAGAAAATATTGCTTATTTTGACATCACCAGAGACACAATCTGACAACACTGCTGAACTAAAGTTCTAGTTATTTTGCTTCTATCACAGTGTGGGCATCAGTAACGGAAAAAAAGCAATTGCTGTCGCAGTCCTCTTGTTGCTGCAGGCCACCCGCTCTTGTGAAATATGACAATATGCGTTATTATGCATTATTAATCGATTCTATTCCTTGCCAGACAGCCAGTTGAATTCTTGTCCTTGGGCTTTGTGAATACGGAACATCAAGTGCTATCCGAATGCAGTGAAATTTCTCATTGTGCAGTTTATGTATTCATTGATGTCTAAATGCGATGGGGGCATTACTTACTGAACTCTTCTTGTTCCATGTTTAAGTGTTACCCTCAAGTTGAAAATAATGTATTAGTGTTCTAGTTAGTGAGTTGATCTGTTGTAGGCATACTCTATTAAACACATTCCTAGTTTTAAGATCTCTTTTTTATATAAGAACATATCTTATCTTAAAAGAGTTTGCTGGGGTGCTGCCCAGCCGCTACAGGGTTGATTTGTTGTTACAAGTTCTCCGACTTAATTTTCAAGCTCTTTTATGAAAAGTCGTTAACATTTCTTTGAATAGAAGAGTCTCGTGAATCAGACACAAGTTTGAAAAAGTCTAGTCACTTAAAATGCACTATTTTCGCCTTTTTCCTCATGTCTCTTTTTAGACTATGACATCTCTGAATCTTTTCAGTCCGAGATTTGAAAAATTGTGAATTTGCAAATTCTATGTAATTCATTTTACAAGCAACGAAGATGCCTACCAGTGCCGCTCTCCAACCATCCGCTGCTTTTTCTCTAGATGTAGGTGACTTGAGATACTGTAAGGACATTATATTCGTGGAATCAATGAATGGGATCTTTGAAATTCGTGTTTATATAATTTCAGTACACTGAAATAAAGATACTTTGTTCTCTTCTTTTTTCAGACCCACTTTGAAACCAATATGATGGCATCATGTCGCAGTCAGCTTTAGGATTGTGTCCTCATCGGTTCTGTTGAATCTTACACTGAGTGAACATTGTCACTCGCAGTAGACTTCGTGTTTCAAAATAAAGGGGGTGTATGTGAATCACCATGTTTTGCTCAGATTGAAATTATGTAGGCCCAACTTATCAGCATTAGCAAGTGTTTCGAATGACGTTCATCTGAGATTTAAGAAAAAAATATTTTAAAATACAGTCTACGATCATTGATCATTTTTCGAAAAATAAACTTCAAAATGATGAATCCACTGTCACTAAAGAGTATTCGCATGCGGATAGAGACCGAGGACCCGTTGTATTTTGGTCAGAAAAAGCTGAAGATGCAAGGGCGGGACTTGCTTCACCTTCCTAAAGCCGTGTTCAAGCTAATGGAATTGGAGGTATGCACCTGAGATATTTCTTTACAGGCCACTAGAAAGCGGCGCAAAATTAACAGGGTTAATGAAGTCTTAAAGGGCAAAGTTAAAATTTTCGGCGAAGTTTATTAGTAAGGGAGAAAAAAAAATGTCCATATCGCCTTTCAGTTTTGTGAAACCTGATTAGCTCTACGTTCACACAGATTTTCTTCAGTTGGGGTTTTATTTAGCATGGGTGGATTTTTTTCTGTATCAGTACCCTGAAGCCTAAAATCTTCATCATCATCATCATCATCATCATCATCATCATCATCATCATCATCATCCTCATCATCATCGTCGTCGTC